ACACACACACACACACACACACACACACACACACACACACACACACACTCTATCTCTCCCTCTCTCTCTCCCCTTTGCTTCAGTAAACAGTCCACGTCTTTCGACCTACTGCGGGCGTGATTAGGCGCAGTGGTTTCCGAGGTTTCTTTCACCTAATACGTGTCACGCGCATGCCTGACGATGTTTAAGAACGAACGAAACGGCTAACAGAGCCTGCCAAAGGCACTTCGTGAGCCAACGACCTATGGCCAAAGGCGTCATTCTCACAGCTTTCACTGGATTTAGATTATACGATAACACTCAATTAGAGAGCTGGAAGCGTACCCGAAAAACCTGGCTACCGGCGGATGATTCGTGGACGATCGAGGAGGAAAATGTTTGGGTTCTGTCTTAAAGTACAATTTTGGAGCACTCGCTGGCAGTCATTACTCGATGCGTAAGGATGGACAGCAAATACTTACAGAAACAAGAGTCGCTACAGCCAAGCATCTTTCTAATTATGAGCTTTTTACGATTGTGAGGTGTTCATTCATTATACATCACATCCGTCAATTTATTAATGCTGCCTATAATGTATAAAGCATGTTCCACATCCGTTGCAATATTTCATGAAAACTATGCGATTTCTTCCTCAAACCGTTGGCGAAAACGTACGTTTCCTTAAACAGGATGATCACAACACGCAGTTTTTAAACCTTGAATTCAAGTGTAACAGTCAGCAGGTTTAAGAATTATTCGGCAATTTATAAACTTTTTTAAACCCGAAAGATACGTCTTTCCTTAAGTATAAAATTTAAAGAAGGCGTAATTTCCTACCAAACGAGGACAAGAGATATTTTTTCGTGCGTGATTTCTACAAAATTTATTTGAATTTCTAAAGGCAATCAAAATCAATGCTAAAAATGCATACTACGTAAGTAGCCCCTTTTTATAGTACATACGTTTTATTAGCGGTCAGAAGGAAGCTGGTTAAAAAGGTGGTATCTTATCGTGACTGAAATGACTTCAGTATAGACTACATGACAATCGGTATCACAACCTTACTCAATGCTGATTAGCGAGAGAGTATCAATCTTTCGCATATGTTTCGCATGTTACACAAATTCTAGGCCGTACTGTAGTTTTCAGAAGCATATAAAAAGTCTCCCTGTACAGAGGAAGGCGATGCGATAAATGTAGCAAGAAGTGTATTGGTCTGAGGTTTCGGAAGCTCACCTGAACTCCTTATCCGAAACAGACACCTACTCGGGATAAACCTATTTTAGACCACTATTAGCTCATATACACTCCACCTTCACTAAAGGTTAGATTGGTCACAAAAAGACTGCAGTGCATAGGATCCATATCAACTGCCACGTGAACACTAAGGCCACCCGTTTCCGCGAAAAGACTTCGTCGTCTGAAGGGGGCTAACATTCTGAAATACGTTTGCACTTATTGCATACACAACTTACGGAATGTTTATTATGTGGCAGTTTCAGATCTACTCACCGAAGTTCATCCATTGCTCGGTTCAAGTCCTGCATTCGTTCACGTTCCCGCAAGTTTATCTTCATACGCATATCCTGTAATTCCGCCTCTGTTATCATATCGAACTGATGGTGATGTTGAGGGGTTTGCAGTTTTGGCAGTGCCCCTCGGCCCTCTTTGCGTCGACTGATGGCCAGTTTCGCCAAAATTCGCGCGTTTGCGGCGTTAAACTTGATTGGTCGTGTGCTGCGCTGCTCTCTGTTCTCACGCGGTTCCCCACTACTGTTTGAAAGGTTCATTGCGATGCAGTGGAAAGACATCAGGTCCACGAAAAGGTGTCGTCGACCGGTTACGGGCAGGTATTTGCGGTTAAACCCTTCCAACAACAG